CAGTCCCCAGAAATATGTTCCTGTAGGAAAGGCCACACAATGTCACATGGAAGGTCCATCCGTTCCCTAAGTAGCGAGGAGCAAATGCTTAGGAGCAGAAGCACACAGCGACCCTTTGCCTCATGTAACCTCTAAGTGGTTTAGGTTAGGAACACAGTTTGAATCTCAGGTCCTTGAGGAACTGCTCCTCTACTGATTTATGTAACACCTTTTAAAATTCACTCATATTTTTGACCTCCACAACACAGCGGTGGTGATGCACAATTAAATTGTGCAGTGTGTGGAAAAATTATGTCCTTCTCTTTAATCCTGATGCCTAGTTATTTTACCCAGTGCCTGTTAGTTGGACTGGCAGAAGAAACACTAAATAATCTTTCCTATTCATCTTCTCTATACCATTCATCATTTTAAATATCATTATCACAGTCCTTCTCCCTGTCGTCCTTTCCAAACCCCCTTGCTATCTCCTCAAACAAAAGCCATTCAACACCTTTGATCACCCCCACACCTTTGATCACCCCGCATTTCTTAACCTTTTTTAACCTTGTGATCGGAACCACCGTGTTCATGACGCAGAAGAGCAGTGAAAATTCATGCACTGACAGTATCTTCCATTTTACTCTTAATTTATATCTTGCCAATTCCCAGCATTTACTTCACTTTCCCTGCCCCCTTTTTTTGACACCATGAGGATAAAGGAGACGTTATCAGAGAGAGACAAGAGCCCATTGCATATGTGGCGTTGTGATTGTTTTTTCTCCTGTACGCATTACTTGACATTTATCAAAATTGAATTCCTCTGCTGTTCTATTTACTCAGTTACCCAGTGTCACGAAATTCAGTAAGCCGTTCTAGTTAGCTTCACTTTTGATTATCATGAAAAATGACATATAGCTCCCACAAATTACAGCCCCTTGCTATTATTTTTTTTCCTCAGATCACTTATGAATATGTGGAAAAAGACAGGTCACAAACTGTCACTAGTAAACAAGCTACTTACTCCATTCTTCCTAACTTTTATCTAATTGCTAATCCATGAGCAAATCTTTCCTCTTACTTTATAGCTTAATAGTTCAAGAACCTTTGGCAAGGGACCTCAAGAAAACTTTCTTAAAAATTCAAGTGCATTGTGATGATCAAATCAACCACAAGCATTTGCTTTTTGACTCCTTCAGAAATTTCTAATACGATCTGGAGAACTGACCTTCCTCTGAAAAAGCTGTGCTGGCTCTCTCCAAATACACCATGTGCATCTGGTGATCGACTCTTTCTAGAACCTGTAGCCTGGATCAACCCGCCTGGTCAGGCTTCTCTTTTGTAGTTCTTCAGGTCACTCCTGGAGGAGATCAGTTAAACCAGCGTCCTGGCCACCCAGCTGGAACCATTCCTAGTAGCTAAGTAATGTCATGTCCGAGTTCCTTTAAAATCTTCTGTTCTGGTCCTGAATATCTCGTCAGTCACTTCAAAGCTTTAACTCCACTGACATTTCCCACCCCAAGAACACATACACCCACCCCAAGAAAAGACTCTGCTCTGAGGAGAATCTTCTGCAGTGAATAGAAATGCAGCATCTTTTCTGCTACAGCCTTATTTCTCTTTGATCACTTCTTTTTACACTTTTGCTGAAGCTGGTAAGGTGGCAGGTGATCAGATATTAATTCTAATGAATATGAACATTTCTGTATGCCTTCAGGAAGTTTCTCTCTGAGATCATTCTGGTTGCCACACAGTAGTTCTACATTTAACTTGACAGATTGTCTTTTCTATTTTCTTTGTTCGAACACAACTTGTTTCCTAGGAAGATGGCTTTTAACGTTAAATAGCCTCTCCAGCTCTGTAAAAGTACACTGTTATTTCTGAGATCTTCTAGAGTGTTTTGATAAGTGACTTGCCCCTGGGCTGACTTTCTAATACTCTGTCTTGAAGCAATCTCCGCATTATAACCCCTTAAACACTTTTCTTTTGACAAACCTCCTTGTTTTGCATAGATCCCCTTTCCAAAGGTAAACATTACTATTGCGTATTTTGACTTCTTTTATTTCTACAAGGATGCTAAATTTGAATACCTTATGGCTACTCTTACAGAGCAGCTCTTCAATAGAAAGATCTGGAAGCACGTAAGGTTTTGATACAATCCCGAACAAATTTTCTTCTTTGCGTCCTTCAGTTTCTTCAAGAGAGGTATGGTGTTTAAAACTTAGTTCTTGTGCTTGCATGGTGTTTCACGACGACAGCTATGTGGCGTGCACCAGACAAGGGCTCACAGTGATGAGGTCAAGAGCCAAAGAAGCCAAGAGAAACCATTCTGAAGGACTAGCCAAGATCCCGGTCAGAGGTTGAGCTGAAGATGCCAAGAGATACGTTATTCCAACACACAATTTAAGATTACAGTCAGAAGATCAGGAAGAGGGAGCAGGAATACAGCCTCTCCAACCAGGAAAAGAATAGACAAGGTCTGGATCACGGGGCCTGGAACACAGCTGAAATTAAATGGCAAATTAATTGGAAAAAGAAAACTGCTTGGTATTGCCTCACCTCCCAGATATGCAAAGGCAACCACAAAAAACGTGCAGGGGCCAGTTCTTACCCAGGCTCACACAGCTCCCTGTTGAGAGGGAGATTGTTCGCTGCCAGCTATGGAGCTGGGAGCTCACACAAAGTCTAACAGAAACAGCTTAAACAGGAGAGGGGGAAATATCACTGAGCAGTAAGTACGTGAAGAGAGATTTCTGAGATTTTTACAGGTTGGTGAGAAATCAACATGTGTGAAATCCAGATATAGTTCTGAGCTCAAATTTGTTATGTTTATATTGTATTTACATTTCCTTTCTCACAGTGTTCAGGTTTGTACAGAGTAAGTGTATGCAGAAAGAACAAGCTTAACAGAGCGGACTTAAAAAGCTGTAACTATCTAGCTTCACAATGAAGTAAAATTTGCAACACTAGATTCAGAATGTGAATCTACACCACCATCCACAGAAAGCAGATTGGCAAATTAATTGGCTACCAGTACAGCAGCAATTAAAAGTGCCAAAATGCAAATATTGGGAAGCAAGTATGGTATAGAATCAGGTGGAAAAGAGAAAGGGATATATATGCCATGACACCATTATCACAGCTGGCAGATTCCGCACAATGTATGCATTGGAATAAGGAATGCATTTTATACTCTATTCCTTAAATGTTGTTGTTTTTCCTCCTTTTAGGAGGAAAATTGATCCCTTTCTGTTTCTCCCACATCCTCTCAACACCATTTTGCAACTTGGAGGTACAGAGATTGTAGCATGCATGCGCTGTACCACAGGAGCTCACTCCAAACCCTTTCTCCTGTCCAAGGTGCTTGGCCACAGGAGTGCAGCAGAATTATTACTTAAATCCTATCACAGTGTGCTGGTTTGGGCTGGGGTAGAGTTAATTTTCTTCACAGTAGCTAGTATGGGGCTGTGTTTTGGATTTGTGCTGAAAACAGTGTTGATAACACAGGGACATTTTAGTTATTGCTGAGCAGTGCTTACACAGAGTCAAGGCCTTTTCTGCTTCTCACCCCACCCCACCAGCGAGCAGGCTGGGTGTGCACAAGAAGTTGGGGGGGACACAGCTGGGACAGCTGACCCCGACTGAGCAAAGGGAGATTCCACACCATATGGCGTCATGCTCAGCATGTAAAGCTGGGGGAAGAAGGAAGGGGGGGACGTTCAAAGTGATGGCGTTTGTCTTCCCAAGTCACTGCTATGCGTGATGGAGCCCTGCTTTCCTGGGGATGGCCGAACACCTGCCTGCCGAGGGGAAGTGCTGAATGAATTCCTTGTTTTGCTTTGCTTGCATGTGCAGCTTTTGCTTTACCTATTAAACTGTCTTTACCTCAACCTGCGAGTTCTCTCACTTTTACCCTTCCGATTCTCTCCCCCATCCCACCGGGGGAGAGTGACCAAGCAGCTGTGTGGGGCAGAGTTGCTGGCTGGGGTTAAACTGCAACACACGGGGAGAGGGGGAAGTCTCCGAGATGGTAAAAACTTGCCCGACTTTGTTACGACCTGCCTCCCCTCACACGTGAGAAAGCGGCTGCAGCCTGCTGCTGTGAACCAACCCACATCCTGAGCGTGGAAGCCAGCTCTGCATTTCAGACCAGTTCTGCCCCACTCTCCCTGTAAGATATATGTGCCATAATGACAGGAGATGAATGGTTTGTGATGCAATCTGATTAAGAAAAAATGCTTTATCTGAGTACTTCTTATGAAACAAATAACTAATTTCCTCACATAATTCCGGAAACATGCTGCGTTTCCTCAGGAAACACCTTTCAGTAGACGCGCTGAGCGGCCTACCCTGCTTCTTCCGTCCCCAACCGCCCCTTATTTCGCCCCCGCGGGCCAGCCCGTC